CCAAAGGGCTGTATATCATTTCTGGGTCACGCAACGTTTTTTCCCACAAACATCCCGCTCTTCGTTAGAACCCTCAAATATACAAATTTCTAGTGAGAATGTCTCATTGTGCGAGGAAACTTCCTGAATGCAGCTCTCCTCATGAGTGTCTACTCGCATTCCTGTAACATAGACGTCAGAGCCATTCCGCAGACAAACAAGTTTTGAATCTCCCGACAAAACAAACCTATTGAACCTCTCACTCTTTTGAGTGCTCTGTTCCTAAAGATGAAAACGTTGAAGAAACACATCATTCGGAAGAAAAGACGTCGAGACATGTCGATCCTAATACCCCATGAACTCGGCTTTGTAACCAGACGTCGAGCCCGTGAACCCCATCCCGCAAGGCCTCGCCTCCAGCTGGCCATCATATCCCTGGTTTAATTGCCTTCTTCGTGTGCTTATTGACGCATTTGGATAGCTCTGCCCAGTACACACCACTAATGTCCATAATCTGCAAAAAAGACATTTAAAAACAGACAGTCATTGCTTTCACGTATAGAACTATAAAACACAAGTGTGAGCATATACGATTTACAACATGGCCAAATGACTCTGAGAATATATGAATAATAGTAGTGAGGTCTTAGAGCATTTGGCTCACGCTGACGTCTACAAAGCTGACAAAAATATCCGTATACTTTTCGACTTATAGTCCTTAACAGACCTGCAAACTCCTCAGAAGAAAAAAAAGTACGTGGTTATAAAGTATAATACTTAATACATTGCTTTTTGCGTAACGCTTATATCGTAGTGTTTCACGGGCGAGAAAAATGTTAATATTATTATCTAAGTACAAATTCAGTAACGTGTTGTTGACTGCAATCTTTTCAACCCTAGAATTGATAAGATGGTGGGTTTTTTGTTTCTTCATACAAATTTGCTAAAATCACTGTGAATTAGAGGCGGTGAAAACCCCTGAGATCTCTATCTACATACCACCTCAGGTCTAAGCTGGCGGCTAAAAGGACCACGCAGAACCCTACACTAGCGGTGGGCAAACGCAGTTTGATCTGATTCCGGCTCCTCTCCAAACATCCTTTGTCTGCAAATCATTCCAAGTCTAGTAATTGATCGATTAGTCCTGTTGGTCCTGTTTATCTCTGTTCAGTTCTGTTTAACCTGTTATACCTGTTCCGTCTGTTTTCCTACTTTAGTCCTGTTTTAACCTGTTACACCTAGTTTTATCCTGGTTAGTCCTAGGTTCTAGTTCCGTTTATAGACTTGTTTATCCTTGGTTTAGTCCCTTAGCCTCATCACTTGGTTTATGCTAGATCCTAAGTTTAGTCCTGTTCAGCTCTGGTTATCCTGGTATAGACCTGACCTAAGCTCGCGTATCCCAATGAGCCGCCCTCCTTCACTTTCCATGCATTCTAAAAGTTGCATTTTTACGCTCGCTTAGGTGAAATATGCATGCTGGAGCCGTTCTAACATGAATCTGTGCGGCTGACGCTGACGCAGAACACAGACAAAGCGGAAACCCGTTTGTTTGGTATTAAGTTTTCTGACGGTTCCTTAGCTCCTGACTAATCAACTGCTCCCACTGGTCGGACTCAGTTTGGACCGCTTTTACCCAGTTAGTATGGGCAGTCCCAGCTACAACAAAACGAGATTACAGAAAAAGCCGGTAGCAGCTGAAGTGTGTTTCTTCTGGTCGACATAATACGTTGGTGTCCCTGTTCCAAAACTCTCCGTTCTGTGGATTCACTCCGAATGACCCAATTGACTAAGAAAAACGTGATTATAGCCGAAAGGGGACAAGTTGCAGTATGCTCTAATTTATCACATTTGGGTGTCCTGTGACCTATAAACTCCAGTGTGACTGATATATTAAAATTTTCACACATGACAGTCGCTCTAGGCTTCGTGGCACCATCTACTACTGTACCACTGGCTCACTTCCCTCTACTGTTGGCACTCTCCTGCAGAAAGAGCCTGTTGCAAGTCGTGAAATCTTCAGCCAAAAACAGAATCGAGCAGCAGAAAGTTGAGGAAGAACTTGGGACTGGCAAAAGACCACACTTCACCAAAACTGCGAGGATGCACCATGAAACTTTCCTGAATCCTGATGATGGACAAATCGACTTCATGACACGTAACCATCCTGTCGGATCAGAAAACCCACATACTGACTGATCTGATGACAGCACACAGAAGAGGAAGCGGGCGCTCGTTTACCTCCGGAGGCAGGAGGTCAGAAGTACCACTGAGAACTTGATGATTTAGTGATTGGAGTGAGAATGGAGAGTTTGTTAAATCTGTTTCCATTTGTTTATGTTATTAGTATCTGAAGAAACGTAAAGTAGACAGAACAGTCTGTTCTTATCTCTTCTTGGTATACAGAACTTGACTCAACAGGGAAATTCGTGCCTGGTCCTCAGTACAAATAATATTTCCTCAAAAAGGTGCAATCCTATTGTAAGTGCGGGCAACTGTTATAATTATGTGCTCTAGTACGAACACTTAATATATTGTAATAGACTATTAATACTACATAACATGCATTACTACCCCAGCGAATGATTAATCAGCCAGAGTGAAGTGACAAAGTCGAAAAGGATAAATTGACATGCAACAGCAACTAAACCCATGAGACAATGCCTCTCCACTAGCTAGCCTTGGTCCCGTCTCAGATTAGACAAGTGTATGTATAGAAGAACAGCCCGTCAATATAGCAACCCGAAAAAGGAGCGGTATAATTGATAAGTATATGCTCTAAAAAACTAACAACCCATAGCCACAGTCAAACGACACAAAGATAAGCTCATTGCTAACAGCATGCATGGGATAGTACAAAACCACATCTCATCCGACACAACTCTGAATTATGAGAACTCGACAAGTTTAAACTCATATGATTGCCCAAGTCATATGCCAACCATAAAAATCCCGATGGAGACAAGCAGGTGGCGCGGCCTTCCCACCAGAGAACCAACAGTAGAAGACTTGTCAAATAAGTGTAATACTTGAATAGAAAAGCGCAAGCCACAAAAATTACACGTAATATAATAGTGAGCATGAGTGACTCCAAAAATTACATACCAACTAATTACCATCACAACTCCACTACACCATAATGCAACAGTATTACAAATTACAATGATCCCAGATATCACTCACCCATGCTCTCCACAATGTACTCTCATAAATTCCCGCACGACTACTCGCACAAGTGAACCACGTGATAAAGGAAAAGCATAGGAAGACCCGAACCACATATAATCTTCACACCAGTGAACTGCAAACTATAGTATGCTGTGGATCTAAACCCGTCTGCTACTCGCCCAATTATAAGGAGGAACGCTCTTCCAGAAGCAACCAATATCACATTAAGCACAATGCAAAAGCACGCAGAGTATAGGACCACGAAGATCAAGAGTGACCACGACTAACACCCACGTACCCGAACTATACAGGTCTCCTCTGCTCAGACCGCCGCGTGGAAACAACACCCCACTCCTCCACCGCCCACAGAACAGTATAAGAGGTGAGTGAGCCGCAATTTAGAAACAAATACATAAACCACTAAGTATGGACACTCAAACAGTGACAACTAGGCACTGCCATGACTGGCGACCGAGACCCAAACTATAAACTAACTAACATCCAAACCATGACAATAAACAGCGAACACACCCCTCGGGCCTCCAATAAAATCCAAAAGCCAAAACTCACGCAATCCAAAATGTGCAAACCACTTTGGAAAGGAGAATATTTAAACGGCTGCCACTCTACTGACTCATCCTCTCGCAAGCCCCTGTTTGTGAATTCAACCAAACCATCAGAATAAACTACGCACTGGAAAATATAATAGGCATGTTTTCCTTATGGACCACAGGAGGAGACAGGCACTGGAGTTCAAAAATAACTAATGCCAAAATCATTACGAAGAGATTAGGATATGGCCATGGTTGTATTGATACATGTCAGCTTGGATATTGATAATGATATTGATTTACTGATTGTGTCCCGTTGTGTCTTCATTGGCCACCGGGCGTGAAAGAACTTGATTAATGTGTAATCCAGCTGACTCTCTGACCTTAACTATTGGCTGTAGGGTCGTAACAGAGTCGGCCTCTAAGGTGCTGGGTCGATTGTAGGAGTGGGTTAGGTCCCTTGGCTGATCTAGAGCCATGCACTTTACAGCCCAAAAAAAAACATAAATATTGAATATGTATTTGTGGGATTGATTTGTGGATATATGGAGCTTTGAGTAATTGGCCATTGCTTATGTCTAACCCCACCTCAGCTGTTACAGTTGCTGAGTTCATGACACCTATTTAATCACTAAATATTGGCTTGGATGAGTTTGCAGAAGACCTGAAAAAAGAGATAGTATTACAATCAATATTTTTTAAGAAAATTCAGGATAAACCAATAAGAAAGTCAAGTAATTCAATTGACTTAAGCTTTTTGTTGAATAGATCATTAAACACAAATGGTAAAATAAAACAAGCCTAGTACACAATTCAATATTTATTTATTTTATAACTACCCAGACAATACTCATTGTTCCTCTAACTGAATAATAAAAAAAAATACAGAGGATATTGTAGGCAGTGGTCTGATTTTATTTTTTTAACCTTTTTTGTTAGCTCTAAAATTGTACTTAGACATTTGTTTCTCTTTTTGATGATTTCCCCGTACCAGTTTGTCTTTTTATGAATGAAATGACTTTATTCCTCTGCGACATTCCATTTCTCTCACACCTACTCCTATAGTGGTTATATTTGTAGCTGCATCCTGCGACAGTGTCTTCTTCTCCATTTTGCCTTCTTTCCTGTATCTCTATCCCTCTCTTTCATTGTTCGCCCATACCTCTCCCTCTCTCTCTCTCACTTCTTTACCCATGCAGCTCTCCTCGGTCTATTCTGGAAACTCATACTCTGCCTCTGCAATCCTCACAAATGGCACTAGATAATCACCATGTCTCTATCTCTCTCCCTCTCTCTGTCTTGCAGGGTACATCGGATCCTCAGTGCGTGGTCTGGGACTATGGCAACCCGTAAGTTATTTCTGCATCCGACTTGTACCATCCGGATTCTCTATTGTGATCCGGTGTTGATTGCAATTCGGACGTCCTCCAGTTCGCCGATAGCTGGTGTCTGATTTGTTAAACTCTCTCAGGTATAGCTGTTCAGATCCGGCTCTAGTCAGAGCAAGCCTGGCAGGAAAACCGTTACCGTTAGCTACCCCGTGCCCGCTCCATTCTGATAGTACACTGGATTAGAATATCATAGTAGTAAACAGGTAGCCTGTGGCATACCACTCGCCCGGACATACAACTATATTAAGAGAGTTTGTGACATGTGCGTTTAGTCCATAGTTCAACTAATCCCAACAATCACAACCTACAACTGAGTAAACATTATCTTACTCGTATATACCTAATAAAATAAATGTTTACACTCCATAACGATATAAACAACACCTACCTCAAAATTGCATGATAGTGTCAGAACTCAAAACATGTGCAAACTTCAATTTAAGTGATCTCCTGTAAACCTACACCACTGATATCTCTCACACAATTCTGCCACACTCTGACGCTGAAAAGCTTAAAACATGAACCCTTATACTGTATACACACAGAACAGACTCACATCATCAGCACCTTCTGTCACAAAAAAATCTCACATAATCCACTGAGTCGTTCATTTTAGTCCAAAAAGCTATCGCATCAGCGCACAAGACAGCTGTTATCACCAGTTTATGCAAATATAGGTGATGCGTCCTTAAATTCTTTCGTAAAAACGTAAACAAATGTACATGAGCTGAATATCTGATCAATCTACATGGTCTGATGTATAGTTGAAATTTGAGTTCTATTAGCAAAGATTTTAATGAAGAATCTGTTTGTTGATGTGTGCAGGGATTGTGGAGATCGTAGCTCTTAGCTTCATCTAAAGAGCTGTCGACCACTTTAGGTTTGTATTGTGTTCCTATGAGATCTAGGCGACACCAATTATTTAAGTATATATCTTCCGCACTTGATCAGTGACCCAGAATGTATATGTTTTATGCAAAAGATACGTGCAACCTCCATTTCATCATGACACAGGACCCTATGCAGTTATTCACCCGCGTTTTCTCACGTGAGTTGCATCGAAAATGCAGTAACCTGAATTACCTACATAACGAAATGACTAATAACTTGGGATACTATGTGTAGTTATAACACACGCAATGACAACTTGAATACTGAACCTTCGTTTACCAAGTACAATGTGTCTATCTTAAAGGATATCTAGACACCCTTGTCAGAAACACTTACTCACACATAGACTTACAAATATATCTCATAAATCTACCACAAGGCATCGTGCAATAGAGTGTAACAGCACGAGCAAATGTGACAATCATTGTCTGTATCTCCCGAATGTCAACTAGTCAACACATAACTTAACCCGCGGTGAGCAGCAGTGTATGAGTGTACACTGGCGATGCTCTAGTGTAAAGAGTCACATCTCGGATCTCCTTTCTTGCCTGAATTGACTAGAGACCTTTGAGGGGATACCCGAAGAATACCTCCCCCTCTCCGTCTGTCTGTGTCGCTAATTACCCCTCACTCTTTTCTCAATGGAGTCTGCACCTCCCCCCTCTCTCCTGATTGTACTGCTGCTCTCCTCTCATCCCTCTGTTCACAAGACGCAGATAATAAATACAGCATCCTACCTCTACTCACTCAGTGTGTTCTCAGACACCACAGACACGGCGTATGTATCTACAATCACTCACTCCTCCACATCGTATGCACCTTTCAGTGGACTTATGAAGCACAATTACAGGAAGCACAGAGGCTCGAAATAATAGATCAGTGAGAAATAGCATGAATGCGAATAACTCAATAAGTACTAAAGTAGTATGATTGAGTGTAAGTTGTATCTGAACATTTCTCAAGGCTTGAAGTTACACTGTTATGGATCAGTCTAATAAGTTGAGGATACGCCGATTGGATCACGATAGATTGTTGCTCTTATCTAGAGTCCTCGTTTTGACCAAGTTCAGCTGGATGTTAGAGCAATGAACTTAATACTTTGCTTGAGACTGCCATACACTCAGAATCTATGCACCATGCGATCATTTTTAAATCACATTACATTTGGATTTGAAACCCTGTAAGTCACTTGATAAAAGACTTTTAGATAAAAAAAACAACAGTACCACAGAAAACTTGTCAGCCCAAAGGAGATATCAACTGTAAACTGGCAAAAACATACAATAGATAACGATCAAAGCGAAAAACTGCGCGCAAGCCACACTTGAAAGAAGATAGCAGATTCTGTCGCATCATGAGCACAAAAATGAAACCAAAGTGCGACTAATTCTAGGGCTGTAGACAAACTTTACTGACCAAACCACGGGTGCACTAGAAAAAAAATTGGCACCAACACGGGATGCCAATAAAGCAATAAAAACTACCAACAACCACCAGACGAGGCGCGCCCACAGAAGACAACCCAGGTCACCATCTACTGATGAAGTAATCATACAAAGGAGATGAAAGGTATGTTTCAGTTGAAAGATAAATTATCCATCCTTGAAAATGAAATAGCACAGCCGCACAATCGCCTAACAAACAGAATGATCTCATCAACAACTATATGAGCCAATAACTCTCCGAAAGAACAACCGAGCATATGACTACGAAGTAGAATACTCAGAACTCAACTCTAGGACGGCAAAGCAGAGACACACAGAAAAGTCTATCAGATCCTCTTCTCATCAATAGTGACTCTGAGACGGAAACAATGAGATACCAGACAATCACACAAATAAACTAAGCAACAAAGAACCCCAATCAACAAACCTCTAGAATAGCTGGCAGATACCAGCAAGCCAGAGTCAATTAAACCTCTCGCACCATCCTAACACGAGGGCACAAGCGTGCAAACGCAACTCATACACAATGATCACAAAGTGAATGGCGAGAGTGTGTGCAAATCCTAACCACACTCAAAGGTGTGCTGATGTGGAACACGACCGGTGCATGCGCTGTGCATGCTGTGCCGAACCGGGGATAAGAGCGTGCGGCTCGGTTCCAATCATTGTAAGGCCAACGCATCATAATGCCCTATAGAGATAGTCGCAGATAGGAAGAGATCAACCATCTCAGGCACCGCCTGCAAGATCTGCAGGTCACCAGGTATCTGGAACCATCCGCAGCCGGGAGTCATATGCCAAAAAGCTAAGTCACTAATCAACCTCCCAAGTCCACCATTAGTACCGATCACGTATTATCAATGTGGACAATTATATGATGAGACTAAAATAGTAAGAAACTAGTAGTGATAAACTCATATAGCCTCTGTAAACTACCAGAGACAGAGACTGGTGTGATATCATAATTACTGTCAATTAAACATACCCAAGACTTAAAATTAAAAACATATTTCTTCAATGTCTGTCAGACAACTGAGAATATTAACATGACGAAACGGTACATCTGTACGCTGTAGTTCCCGAATGTTCTATTACTGTAGCTGTGCTGCTATAGAACTAGCAGAGTGCATTATTAAGCCTAGAGGACATCTGATGACCAATGCAGTATATATGTTGATCAGTCCGCGATGAATCATCTCTCGATACCTGTTGACCGTTATGTCCATCGACACCAGAGGATTTCTGTGGATGTTGTACCTATGACGGACCTCGCGAATGTATACACCTGTGATCTAATCAAGTCTCAATTGTATGCAATAAAGATGCTGGAAATGCTAACTCTGTACAGTCCAAAGATACTAGAAAGAAGAATAACCCAAAAATGAGATCTGATTTTAGTTAGTGTTAGAGAAATCTGATCATCAAAAACATCTAGTGACATCTATCAGTTAACTGTTGTATTGAAAGTCAAAGTACACTGAATTTAAAATACCTCTTTCCATCTTAAAAAATCTTTTTCATTTTTATCTTTGGCCTTTTTTTGGAAGCTTTTCCTTGTCAAAACCTCCACAGATGTGAACTATCAGAAAGAAATCAGATAACTCACATCAGATGCAAACTCTTTACATAAAAATTCAGTAATAACTCCAGATCAGATAATGATCGGATTCTTGGTGTGCACACTGTCCCAGTGTTTAATAATTCTCCCCCGGAAATTTGATTCATTGGCGGTTTGCTAATGTAAAACATATTTTTGATTTTTATTTACTTATTTTACTGTTTATGGGATACAAAGTTTATCCCCTGGGCTGGGCATGTTAGCATAGCATATGTTTTCTAATTAGCAAAACCCCATCACCAGCAGCTTCCATCAATCAGAAATGCTAACAGCTATATATGATGTAAGCTTTACAGTACTATATTAATTACCATGCAGAGACTACTCATGGGGTCCATTAGCTGTTTTGAGCTTTTGGTAAATACCCCAAAGTCATCACCATTTGGGCTCACAGATGCTGCTAATAAAAGGTGTTCTGAAACCTAGCCAACTGATAGTTCTTTTCTATTTTATTATTACTGCACATGTATTAAAATCTAAAATGCAAATTTGCCTGACTATAAAACACTTTTTATATAGCCTACACCATGCGAACATAAAATGAGTTGGAAACACTTCATAAAAACTACACTTTATATAGCCTTAATAAAACATGAATGGAAGTGGAACGAAACACAAAATGAAGTTTTTTGCTACTTCTGTGTACGTGTTGCTTTAATAGTATTGTATACTGCCCCTAGTCCTTTTTTGCAGTTTGACTGTAAACTAGGTAAATTTGCAGTTTTGTGCTCAAAAACTGTGTGTGGTTCCTCCAGTGGCTGCTGCAATTTCAAGTACTATGTGACATTACACAGGACTCCCTGATAACAGCCAGGTGATTCTGATTACAAACACCTGGCTACAGGGGTGGAGTTTGAAGTGTGGTTGTCTGTTCGACTAATCACACTGTTCTTATACCCTCAGGTCCTGCTCTCCTTCCTCTTCACTCTCCCATTTAGTCCACTGCCCAGTTTAGTAGCTCTATTTGAAATTTGGTTCTGCACTTTTGCCAACTTTCAGAGGCC